GGGGGGATGCAGAGAGGGAGAATGAATATGTGATGTGTTGATATACTGCTTTTAATGGTTAATTGAATGTATGATTTGTACCACAAAAGTTGATGAAAGCACACTCCAATGTAATATCAATAAAGTTTGTCGCAACATACCTGTTTCTGAATCATCATCATCCGGTGCCTTGCCGACTGGCGTGGGTGATCATGGACCTCCACTTCACTCAGTCTTGCGCTGCATAAAGGGATGGTGTCTGTTGTTCTTGCTGCTCCTAGCCATGTTGTCAACTTGTCCTGTATCTTTTCCCTCTGTCTGCCTCTGCCTTTCTTTCCATCAAACTTGCCTGTTGTTACAATATTCTCCAATGCTCTTCTTTCCGCATTGTGTGTTCTGTGAACTTTGCCTGTCGCTGTTTCTGAATGTGGGTGGTTGGCGGGTGCTCTGGTGTGGTTTGCTTCTTCTTTCCCATCAAACATCTATCGTCCTTATCTCCCCTTCTTCTTTTTTGTTTGTTACTCTCTTGTAACACATCTAATCTTCTGGCGCTCACATGACCTTATGCAGTTGCGAGTGCCATAAGACCTCTACTAAAACTAAAAACTGTTTCTGAATATAATGGAGAAGAAATGCTGAACTTGAGTCTCCTTTTACTCGTTCACAGGAAATGCAGGACGTGAAAGCTTACCTGGAGGAGGTGTTAAAAGACTCATGAGCTGAAAGCTGTAGAGACAACAACAACTAAATAAAAACCAATGTACAGTTGATGTTGGTTATAGACCACGTTCATTTTCTTGTTTCCATCGTGAACACGATGGCAGTTTTCCCCCCTCCCCACCATATTATTATTATTGCCTGCAAGTGTTCGAGTGCCTGCTTGGTGAATGTGGTTGACCATAGCAATCTTTCTTTAGTATTCAAGGATGGAAAGGTATGACGTGTGAGAAGTGTGCTCTTATTGTTTGAATAACTGGGGAAGATTATATATATATGTGTACACATATATAATACAAGTAGTGTCTCTTAAAGACAAGTATCTTCATGCAAATTATGACCAACTGTTGTGTGTATCACTGTCCATGTGGAATTTTGCATTGCGAAAATAGACTCACTCTGTCGTGTAGAACAAGTTTGAGATGTTTGATTGATTGTCTCCCTCAGAATCAGTTTTTCCATTTTCTGCAAAGTAATGAACCTTTGACTTTGACTCAGGTGGGGGTTGTTGGTACACATCATCACCTCAGAATTATTTTGTCCAAAGTGTGCGTAAGTAAAGAGGCCCTTGAGACAGAGTTGTTCTGAGGTGATGATATTGTGTCCAGATGTTGGGGGGTTTTTTGTTTGTTTTTTCCTTTTGTGTGTTCCTCAAAGATTTTGTTAACCGGATGAATAATTGCGTTATGCTTTACTGCCGAATAGCAACGTTCTGTCACAAGGTATGTAAGACTTACGCTCTTCAAACAAAAGCACGTCGTGGTACTGAAATTTTCTGTTTTGTTGATTTGACTGGTTTTGTTTGTGAACGTGGGTAGTTTTTGTTGGATTTTTGAAAACTTTTTTCTTTTGATGCTTGCCATATTGGGCTCTTGTTTTTAGTTTAGAAGAAACTTGCTGTGGTTCTGTTGAAATATTTGCCCAGATTTTTGCAAAGGTGTATTAGTAACAACATCAGTCTCATGTATTGGGGAAAAAAACGGTTGATCTATTCAATCTGAAATTAAATTACCGTATAGTATCTATTCAAATTCTCTAAATACTTTATGAAAAGAAGAAAAGTATTTTTTATTTGCCATTTATTTTTCAGGATGTGCTATTTATGCCTGAGAGTCTTTTGACTTTTTTTTTTTATAAATTAAGCAGGGCTATTATTTCCAATTTTGACCAAACACTTCTCCTGTGTACATTCTACTGCTGCATCAGCGAAATAATTACACAGAAAATATGCGCAGCGTCTGCTCACAGATTGCTTTACTTTCGTTTGCGATATATTTGTGCAGTGTTTGCCCTCAGTTTGCCTCTTTTTTCTTCCTTTTTTTTTTTCAGTTGCAAGATATTCCTCTAGGTAGATAGGAAGCTTACTGTGCGGTGATGGGAAGTGGGTGTTTGTGGCATCTTGTATCGGTGGGTGAAGGGTACAGACGCTACGTGCTGGAGTACCATTGTGCTTGTTGTATTCACTTTGTTTGTGTTTGTGTAGACAGAGTGTATTCTTAGGGTAGGCCCACACCGGCGCCGAGCCCAACGGTCAGACCAGACCCGTTTTCTGACACAAAAGAATGAACGCCCGCAGAACAGTAACGACAGGTAATGAGAACCAGCAACCCGCCCACACCAAAACCCGACGTCCCAGACCAGACGGTTTAGGAATGAACTTGCTCATTGCACGCCGTTCATCGGGCGAAAGAGGGGATAATTTTCGTAGATATTGCCTCTATAAATTCTCTCCACTTTCCCGCCACAGTCGGTTGGTTTTTGTTTTGAGAGTATTTTACAGCGCTTGCGTGATGAAAGCAGACGACAGGACATGTGAGCAGGAAAGGAGGTAAAAGGGGGAAAATTTAAAGAAGAACATTTTCCATTGCTTTCAAGTTTCGATCCCGTGACCCATTTAATGAGAGGCAAACAACGTAAAACGTAACCCCTAGACCACAAGAGCACACTCACACACACACACCTACACACACACCTTCCTAACCACAAAAAGAACTACCACTTTCTCCTCCTGCTACACGCCATATTCTACTAGTAAACCAATGTTGTCTGACCGTCGGGTACCAGTGGCGGTATGGGCGCCACAGCCCGGCAGAAAATCATCGGGTCAGGTCTGACCATTGCGCCGGACGCCGGTGTGGATCTAGATCTAGCCTTACTCTAGGATGTCAGGGGTGGTTAGAAGGCACTGCTGGTAGATCCCTTCTTCTTCTGTGTCTCTACAATCGCAACAATTGGCCCTTTGTGTTTGTCAAATAAACTGCTGATTGTTCTATACCTTGTTTGTGAGGAAAAGTTGAATACAGATAAAGGGCAAGTGTGTGATTTATGGCTTCTGTGAAACTGTATATAATATATGTATATATATATATATTATATATATATGTGTGTGTGTGTGTGTGTATTCAGATCCCCCCCCCCCCCCCCCCAAGTGATCACCATCTGCCCTTTTGTGAGTATACATGGGTGTGTTGAAGTTTTTCCTTGATCTGTATTCTTTTTCATACCATCTGGCATAGCTGCTCTTCATTTTTGTTTTAAAGTATAAAGTAGTGGCTCTTCCCCCTTGTAGCTTTTGTGGTTCTTCATGGGCGATTTCCTGTCTGTGTATTTAGATGGCGTGTATTTTCTTTTATAAAAGCACTTTCTAGGAAAGTAATCGTTGTATTACAAAGTAAACTGTGTCACTGACTGTCTGGTCAGAAACTTTGTAATTTAGAATATAATGTACCTCTGGACCGGGTTCGAGCTCCGATTCGGACATGGATTTTTTTCACCCCCTCCTGCCCACCCAGCAGTAATGGGTGCCTGACTTAGAGTTGGAGAAGTAAAGGCGGCTTGGAAAGGAACTGGCCACCCTACCATGATATGCCGACGGCCCAGGAAGTAGTCTCACTAACAAGGGAATCCCCAATGTCCGGATCGGACGTGGGAACAACTTTACTTTTTTACCACTAGACCCATCCATATATATACACTGGAACAAATTTTATCATTTCTTTTATTATGTTTTCCTTTTATAATGTAAGCGGTGTTGGAAAGGAAAATGTGAGAATGCTGTATTTTGTGTGCACACTTCGTTGATAATTTATAACAAGTGATGGTTTTCTTGCAGAAGGAAAGCAGTGAAACCTCCATCATCTGTGGTAGACTTTGTTAAGCTTGGCTTCATATTCTCAGCTTGACATTGCATCCTTTTCAAGCTACAGATCACTGGAATTATCTCATATATCACAGTTTATATAAAAAGTCTTGTAACAAGATGTGTTAACGTTAGACAATAATATGATCCGTACATTTGGAGTCCCCGCTTGTGTGTGTTTCTACGGGGTCTGAAACGTTTAGGGTGGTTTTTCCCCCGAGACAGCTGGCACCTCTGAAGTGAACCCTTTGAATCCTTAAAGTGCACAACCATACATACTCAACCTTCTCACTTTACCCTTTGTGCAATGAGCTCACGCCTCAGTATGCAGTGCTGTAATTCTAGCAGTCAACCAATGGGAGGCGAGGTGCACAGATCCTGTATAAGTACCGTACAGTATAATACGGATAGTTCAAATTCGTCGGGACCGGCCTCTGTAGTAGTTCGAGGGGCCGCAGGCACAGTTCAGCGGATGAGTGATTGATTTGGGGTCTTCTGTGTTTGACTTATCCGTGTTAAACTGTTAAAGGCTCAGGAGTCTACTAAGGCTCCGATGTGTAACGGCTGTTGGGCTGAACTGAATACGAAGCCAGTGTGAGTGTTTTAACCAGTTCCTCTTGCTCTGTGGTTTGTTTCCACAAGGGCTCCAGACCTCGTTTGTCTCGCGTGAAAGTATTTTGTCTATGCACTTTCCCAGATAAATATTTTACTTGGAACTTTGGTGTGTGTTGCAAGGCTCCCCTTTTTATTATCATGGCAGTTATTGCTTTTGTTTTGTTTTTGTTGAGGTTTTTTGTTTCTTGTTTTCAGTTGTAAAATAGCTGAGGAGCCTTGCCAACTATTGATTAGTTTTGTCAAGTGTGTCACTTAACAACTGTTTTGAATTTGGTTCTGCCTGTGAAAGTATTCAAGTCCGTTCTCACATGCAAGTTTCCAGAAACTTTCTTGTTTATTTTTTTCAGTGTCTATGAAAGTGTTTTTGGTTGGGTTGGTTTTTTGGGTTTTTTTATAACTATGCATGTTTTTATTAGTTGTATTATAATAATATGGTTTAAAAAAAGACAGATGATGGAAAACATTTGTAGAGAGTGGAATTTTTAAGATGTTAGTACTGTTAGCTTTTTGTTTTGCTTGAACTGGCTGTATTATTCAGTGGTCAGAAATGTTCACACTGCAATTAAAACTGTATCTGGAAAGGAGAAAGTAGTGTTGGTTACTTTTTTTTCCAAGTTTTTTTTGTGATTTTCCCCAAGACATCCAGCCGCGTGTAGGTGTAACAGTTTATTCGGTGGAAAGTAATTTGCCGTCTTTCATGGTTCCTTTATACAAGATTTGAGTTTCACATTCAGTCTTCTACGTCAGGAACTGTGTACTCTGTGCTGCAAATACCTGTCCCCGTCGTTTTATGCAATATATCTGAAATTATACTAACTGAGCCCAAAAATGTGCGATTCAGTTGATTTTAACAAAGACTGATGAAGGAAATGAATCAGAAATTATGCAAAAAAATGATAAAATTTTGCTAAATTATGCGGGCACTCATGTGACCTTATGTCCCCGTGGTTTTTTGCACCCCGCATAATTTAGCAAAATTTGATCCTCTTTTGCATAATTTCTGATTATTTCTTTATCATTCTTTGTTTAAAACTAACAGAATCGCATAATTTCACATTTTTGGGCTTAGTTTGCATAATTTCAAGAATTTTTCTTGCACAAAACGACGGGGACAGCCTTATGCAGTTGCGAGCGCCGAAAAAGCTATACTGAAACTAAAAAGTAAAATTGACTCCTCTGTGTGAGGGCCAAGAGCATGACGTTCACTCAGTTGGTGTTATGGCATGCTGGCCTATGAACTATAATGCGATGGCAGACTTTGTGCTGTTGAGGCAAGGGAGGTGAGCAGAGTAAGCCTGATTCCCCGTTATGCACAGTAGAATTGTAAATGGGCCATGCTGATTCATCACAATGTCATGCTCATAACTGTGCCTGAACTGCAACAGGGAACTGCTGCTTTTTCTTTCCTAATCCTTACTATTATTATTATCATTTTTCCTCTACTTCTTTTGTATTTGTGACACTCTTGTGACCCAATATTTCCGGGGTACCTTGATAGTCGAAGCAGACTTTGTGCTGTTGAAGCTAGAGAGGTGAGCAGAGAAAGCCCTGATTCCCCGTTTGGACTTCTCTGTTGATATCCACCCCTTGGCGCTCTTATGACCTTATTATGCAGTTACAAGCGCCGTAAAACCTTACTAAAACTAAAACTAAAACTATGATGCGGATCACCCGGATTTGAACCTCAACGCGGGGCTTTCTTGAACTTGGAGTGTTTGGGGAATTTTCAAGGCTTCCCTCACCATGAGTGTCTGTGGTGTACATTGTAGCAATTTAACTTAAGCACTTCGCTGTCACGCGCAGGAAACCCGAGTCCAATTCCCAAGTGGGGATCAATTTTTATAGAATATCCCAGTCTTTCTGCAGGGATGGTGTATCTCCCCCCCCTCTCTCTCTCTCTCTCTCTCTCTCTCTCTCTCTCTCTCTCTCTCTCTCTCTCTCTCTCTCTCTCTCTCTCTCTCTCTCTCTCTCTTT